CGCCATTCACATGCTCGCCGAAACCTGGGAGATGGGAGCAAGACATCTTGTGCCTCGTGGCCGATGGCATCAGCTCGCAACGTTCCGTTGCTGCAATGGAAGTCGGGCATGCGTTAGCAAGCAGCAGCACGCTTTGAGATGCTGCAAAGGCAAAAGAGCTGGGAGGCAAAGCAGCTCGGGTCGGGTCCTGTTCAAGAAGTGGCCGGCGCCTACAGTGGCCGGTTGGCTCTCCCGAGGCTCTGATGCTGAGGACCTCCTCGAAAATCCGGTGGATGTCTGTCCTGCCTGCTGCACTCACGACAAGACAGCAATGCGAAAAAACCTGTTTCAAGGAGGTAGGCAGCCCTCCATCGACGGATCATGTCTTGGGGGGGTGCTCCTAACAGGCAGTCGAGATGCAACTAAATTACCGAGAGATTGAGTAAAGCTCCCTGCCAAAAGGCAGGAATACCCGTGGAAGGGGCCACGTGCCATCATGCGACCTCTGCCGTGTCTGCCTTCTGCTCCATGCGTGCAAAGGAACGGCGGAATGGTAGCAGAGCGCAGGGCTGTCACATCCGCTTTAATGGCATTTCTATTGTCACAAACTGTGACACCAGCGCTGTATAAGCGCCACGCGACAGCACACCGCCTCGGCACAGGGAAAAACTGGCATAAAGTCACGCTGCTTGCCAGTGATGAAGCGATGTACGGCTTCCGATGAAACAATCTGCACAAACTGGAACAACACGTGGCAGTCGCACTTTTCAGCACTACTCACAATCGTCACCCTCGTCGAAGCAGTGGCAGCAGCAGCAATGAGCAGGGTGGCAGAAATGCATTGCCCCCCATTTTTCATGCGTTTCCCGGCCTCGCTTGAACAAGTTCTGACGAAATTATGCCCGAAGGCACTCACATATTGTGGACGTACTATAGTTGTAGCAATATAGATATACTATAATGATGCATAATGATGCTGTGGTGATCTCGTCACAATATTACAATGGAGCTATAGTCAACCTTTAGTCAATTTACAGTCCTTTTAGAATACTACTTAATACTACTCTGGAAAATTATAGAACACTTTCGTAATGCGTTGGTCATGTTACAGTCATACCATAGTCATGCAGTAACATGAACATTAAAGTGATGCCATAGTAATGTTAACGCCAGCTCATAGTATCGTAGCAAAGTTGAATGAACATTATAGCATGCTCTCGTGATAATATAATGGCTTCCTCGTGATACAGTACTATAACAAAACTTTCGTATCCTAATAGTGCCGTATTTTCGGTGTTCTGCCATTGCTTCTGCACGTACACATGGCCTGTCTCATACCTGTGCGATAATTACAAGGGACACGCAAACCAGAATCTAAAGCGCTGCTACTTCATAGCTGTGACGATAGACAACATGTCCGGTTCGCTTCGCTTCTGGAAGGAATGCCTCAATCATCTGTGCTTCTTGTTTTGGTTCATTCCTGGCAACCAATATCCCTAGACGACTCGTGTCAAGCATCAGCAGAAGTCAGACAGTTGACCACCGTAGCAATTTTGTGCGCGTGCGAGGCATCACTTTGATCCTCTCCTTTGGCGTGGCTGCACTGGAGAGGAACGCAGGAACACGACAGCAAAAAGGACGGTTGCAAGCCGAGCGACTGCCTGTCTAGAGGCGAACGGCGCTTCAACCTGCGCTCATGGCAGGGCAACTCTGACGGATGCATTGGACACATCAAGAAGCATCAGAAACATGTTTCCAGTCAGTTCAATAAATCAGAGACGAGCTGTCCAACCTGTATGCTCAAGACGTCGATACAATGTGCTGAACCATCTGCACCTGATAGAGTCCTCAGCAGCGCATCTCAAACCATGGAGTATCTGCACATCCTGGCTTCCGCACCGTCCCAAATGGTCAAACACAACTCAAATAGCTCATGCGCGGGAAGTCGATGCAAAAACTCATTATGAATTCATGAGCCGACCGAAACCTAGCAGAAGCAGGAAGCTGAGGAGCAGGCTGTCGTGCCCGGCAAATGACCGCATCGTTTGCAGTGATCCCGGCATGCACTGCATGCACTCACTCGCCCCAGATTACGTGCCAGAACAACAGAACTCAACTGTTGTAATATGCAAGATTTCACAAGTCCCTGCGATTTGTATGAAGTCGTGACACACGAGGTCATTTCCTGTTGTCATTTGTACCGACTGCAACCTTACACGTTGCTAAGGTCCTCGGACACAACGCTTCAACATAACAAAACAAGCCATGGATGACATGCAGAATCCAGTTGCTGCCGCGACGAAATTGGAAAAAACATTCGTTGGTTCGGGTCCTCTTGTTTTCGCGTCTGGTCCTGGCAATGTTAGTGCAACGTCTGGCAGTTCCGACCATTGCCCTGCAACGTCTGGCTCAAAACATGTCACATGCCTGCAATGGTTGTAATGTTTTTTCTCACAATGCTTCTTGATCGATCTTTTGGTCCGCAGCTTTGGAAACGTCGTGCCCTCGAAAGCTGCGCGCAAGCTTCCATGCAGAAGCTCAGGTCATCGCTTGAACTGAAAAACTCCGGCCTTTTCGCTTCAGAACCGAACAAAAGCGCTGACGAAGTAGCTGAGCTCTCTCAATCTTTTGTTTCAAGCATGTTCTGTCTGCCAGTCGTGTGCTACTGTCGCCTTACCATTGTTTTTTTGCCGGTCTCGAGTTTCAATGCCAGCGAACTTCAACCGCCTAAGATTGCGGCTCTTAGGGCCGAGATGTATTCGAAAAGCTTAACAAAACTAAGCTTAGCATGGCGGCAGAACTTGGGTGTATGTGCAACACTGCACATCATCGAGACTACGATAAACATGGCCAAATTACTCAGAAAGGCCTCAGGCCAAGGTGCAAACGACCAAAGTGGAACCCAGGTTCAGCTCTCGCGGGCAACGCAAGCCATCAAGTCGAAGCGACGGGCAAAGCACGCCGCAAGCCGAACACCTCCTCAGCCTCGGCATCTCTTTTATCATCTGGGCTGCGACTGCACAACGTCAGCCAAATTTTGATGTGCAAGAATAAGAATGCACTCTAACGTTCTCAACAACATCTTCGAGGGATTCCTGTAGCTTTCCTCGTCAGTCGGGCGTAAAGCTTTCAACAGTTCTGTCCATTCACTGACAGTTTCCAACAGTCACGCCGGCACTTTAACCTCAATCCTCCGCTGCCTACACAATGCCTTCACGTTACTGAGTTCAAAAGTCGCCAAAACACAATCCTTTGCAGAGACATAGGTCAGAATTCGGTACTTTAGAGCACTGTCGATTCGCGGGCCTACGGCCCGGAGCTCGAACGATCTTAGGGGTTCTAAAGTCTTTGCAAAACGGGATTTAGAAGTGCTTTAAGGGGCGCGATACCGGCGAGCAGCTGACGAGTGGCTTGCGAGCTTCTCATGAGCTGCACGCACAGCAGCCCACGAGCTACTTATGAGCTGCAGCACAGTGTGATGCCCATGAAAACAGAAGAATGATGATTTAATTTTAGAAATAAGATTAAATCAATATTTTGTATTGTAACTATATGAGTAAACAGGAGATCATTAATAATGTGTATTACGATCGCGCGGGATATGGGAGCAGACAGAGGACTTTAAAGGAAGCACGAGAGAAGGATAAAAGTATAACTATTGACGATGTCAATGAGTTTTTCAAGAAGAACGTGGAAGCAAAAAGAAAACATGTGGGACAGAACAGCTTTGTAGCACCACATTCGGCATACGAGTATCAAATGGACTTGCTTTTTATAAATGATCTGGAAGATCAAAAATTCAAGGTTGGTATGGTCATGATAGATGTCTTTGATAAGTTTATGCATGTGGTAGCAATAAAAGGTAAAAAAGAAGAGGATTTAGCGAGTGGTATGATTGAGTGTTTGCATAAGATGGGGAAAAAACCTAAGAATATTTATACTGATGATGAAGGCGCTCTTTCTAAAGAAGCTATACAAACTTATTTAAAGGAACAGAAAATAGAGCACCACAGGACAAGGGCACACGCAAATTTCAGTGAGAGGGCGATCAGAACTTTTAAGGACATGTTATATAAAAGAGTTGAGGCTGACGAGAAAAAGGGCAAAAGCAATATTCAATGGACTGATTATATTCACGAGATATTGTTGACATATAATAACCAAATGATACATTCTGCCACAAAATTCACGCCGAAAGAGGCACGGAAACCGAGTAACGAATTAAGCGTCAGGTTCAGTATTGCTAGTAGTGGTAAACGGAATAGGATATATCCGGATCTTGACAAGAGTGACGAAGTCAAGATATTTAGGAAGCGAAAACCGAATGAGAAGGAGAGAATAAGTAACTGGTCGCAAAACCGCTATACCGTGGAGAAGATTGAGAAGAGATTCGGGCAAAATTACTATTATGTGGAAGGCGTTGATAGATCATATTTAAGGTTTGAGTTGCTAAAGGTTTGAAACACACCCTAAACCGATTTGAACTTGGTCACTTGTGTTTCGTGTTTAAGGTTTCATTGGTGTTGTTGTTGTTGTTTTTGTTGTTGTTGTTCTGCGTATGTTCTTCCAGTGCTTCTGTATGGTTTTCGGGGAGTCTGGAAGAAAAAGGACAAATCAAAAAAAATAAGCAACACGCAAAAATCAAGATTTTACGCCAAGCGAGTTGGGTTCGGGTTTGAATTCGTTTGTCGTAACATATGTTTAGTAGGACCCTTAAGAGAAACCCAACCCAAATCACGAGTTCAAAGGTAGGGGTAATCAACACCAAAATGCACACACACAGCAAATGAAAGGGATACCAGCAAAAGGAAGGCAATCACAACAAACCAGACATCTTTAAAACCCTGAACAGTCCGTGCCATTACATGGAAAGCAAAGTCTGACTGCTTGGCACTGCACAGGCTCGCAGCACAAATACTCAATTCGACAACACTTGCAGCCAACCTTTTTTCTCGAAGTTCGGCTCCGCCGATGTGCTTGGTGATATGTACACACTGGTTTCATGAGCTACCCTGTGCCGCTTAGTCGACTGCTGCTGCAACGCCGGTGTCAACTTCTGCACCGATGCCCGCAGCCTTTTTGGCTTCACCTACGGCCACTTGCAGCTCGGCGGGAAGCTCCAAGAGCTGCCACCACACATGATCTCCAGTGATGCTAACTGGATGTCCTTTTCTCTGCCTTGCCCATGCAGCTTCAACACACTCGAAGCGCCACGTGACGGCGCACTCGAAAAGATCTGCCTGCGCTTCGGGCACTTTTACGAAGGTTTGGTAGCCAATGGCTGGTTTTTGGAGGTCAACGGACTTGACAGGCTTCGAGATGAAAGTGTCTTGCCCGACCCTGCGAGTGTTCACCTCCATGGTGAAGCCCACGAGACCGTCACATGATGGAGATCTCTCCATAACCCTCACTTGGATGTGCGGAGCAGTGTCTGGACCATCAAAGTACATGTGAAAAACAGGACTGGCGCTCAAGAACAACCATTCACATACTAGCTTCCGTCCATCATCTAACAGTGCTGCTGGGATGATGTGCATGTTTTGATAAATCTTGTCCTCTACCTTGTCCAAGCGCTGCAGCTGTAGTTTTGCACGCAGCTGAGCTGCCTTTGTAGCTGCTGGTGCAGTCGACCCAGCTCCGGTGCTAGCATGTTGTTCAGGACTGCCGACGTCCCGCTCATAGTGATTCGGCAGTATTACCTCAATGCCTTCAGGTCGCTTGAGCTTCTTCAGCGTCAACTGGATGGACTCGTCAGTGGCGGCAGGATGCTCATACAAAGCACCTGTGAACTCTGCACGGGACTCTTCAGAGCGAAACCATATGTCCAAGCAAATGCTGTCAGTCTGCCCGAACACACGCAAATGTGTGATGCACCTGCCAGTTTGACCATACGCAGCGCGCTTTGCTGCCAAGGTGAACAACGCACGGCGTGCTCCGAAAACGTTGCCCCACCCTCTCAGAGTAGCAGCCAGATGGAACATCTCATTTGCCTGCACAGACAGTAGAACACCGTAAAACAACAAAAGTCAAAACATGCACCCAAGCAACACTTATAACCCGAAACACCCGAACCACCAAACCAACCAAGCAACAGAACCTAGCAAGGACCAACCCTCCTAGCGTGAACTGCTTAAGGGGACTAAATAGGCTATATAAGTAGTGGGGATAAGCAGGAAAGAAAAGGATAAACTGACGAGGGGCTTGCGATGATGTAGCAGGACTGCTCTGACAGTGGACAAACAGAGGGGTCTGCACATTCTCTCCACCAGACATGTCATCGATGGGCAGGCCACGATCCATTGAGGGCTGGCCTGCAGCATGCGATGCTTCGTTCTGATAGAGGTGAAGGAAGTTCACTGTTGCTGATAGTCCCCCCACGTCTTTCGCTTGCTCCAAGAAGCTGAGGACTATTTTCGGTTCTTTCACGTCAGACCGTCGGATCAGAAAGACGTCACCAATAGATGCCTGTACAAACCAAAAGTCTGCATGTCTATGCGGTGACCTGCTTCGGTCACGGGGCATGGCACGGCGAACCAATAACTCAGCAGAGGCAAGCTGACCTAAATCATGCTGCATATAGAGTTGCGCATATGTTGTGCAACAGCCCGTCTTGAAAATAAGAAGCTGAAACGATTGCCCAATGCCTTGAAACGTTGGGCAAGCGGCGGATATCATTCAAAAAGCCACGCATCATCCACTTGACTGAGTAACGGTACCACCCTGTGAGCAACCTTTGAACAAAAGCCGATGAGAGAACCCTTGCCCACTTTGGGATGATAATACCACCTTAGGGAATATGGATGGGGCAATTGGTTATTCCTATACTGGTATTGGTAATGGGGTAGTAGTGGTGATATATTGGGTGGGATGTAGTAGGGAGTATAGGAATAATCCTCGTATATGGATGAGGCAATCGGTTATTCCTATACTGGTATTGGCANNNNGGCAAGGGTTCTGCTAACTGAATGCAGGTTCGCGCAATGGCAATAAGTTGCCCCGCTCCCCGAAAGGGTCGCGCAATGGCATGTTGATCATGATGGTTCAGATAGGCTTGCACTGCTTTAG